TATATCAAGAAGCTAAAGCAGAACAAAATTGAAAAATATACCATACTCATGAATATGAACTCGTAACACTGTGAAAGTACTATCCAAAGTGATCTATAGACATAATACCAATCCACATCCCATCATCAGTTTTTAAAGAAGTGGAAAAGTAGAAAACAACTTTAAATGTAAAATAAAGAGACTCCAGATAAACAAAATATTTCAAAAGAATAACAATGTAGGAGCTTCACGCACTTGACCTAAAAAAACCCTACTAGACAGCCATGACATTTTAAAAAGCCTGCTATTGGTATATGAGAAGAAAACCTATAAATCAATGAAACAGAATTGAGAACCCAGAAGTATGCCCACCTACCTATGAAAGTTGATCTTGGACAAAAATCTGAAATTCATTAAATGGGGAAGAGATGGTCTCTTTAAGAAGTGGTGCTAACAAAATTGGATATCCGTCTACAGAAAAAATGAAAGAGATTTAAATGTCACATCACATACAAAAACAAACTCAAAATGCATCAAAATCCTAATGGCAAAACCTAAAATTACAAAAACTATCTAATGAAAAATATTGACAAATTTAGGGGCCCTGATCTATGAAAAAATACATTATCAACTATAAGTAAAATGTGTAAACAATTTTACTTATAGTAAATATAAGCTAAATGAGTGAGGTCTCCTAAAATTAGACACTTATGCACATCATACATGTTACCAAATGTGTAAAAAGACAATCCACATGTGTTGACAGGGTTCTCTAGAGAAACAAATCTAGGACACTTATGAATATATATATATTCAAATATATATATACAGGTTTATACAGCGAGAAGGAATATAACACTAATTAGTCCACATGGCAGTACAGAGTGTTCAGTTCAACTCACTTCCGTGGAACAGTTAATATACTGGAAGTCCTTCAACTCACCAGGGCTGCCAGACCAAGGTCAAGGAAGCAGACAGCAGAATCATCTCTTGGGCAAGGCAAGCAGAGTGTGCCCACAAGCAGCAACCAGCATAGTGGGTCATCAACAGTCAGTAGCTCAGGAGCTCAGAGAAGCAGGCCTAGATGGGATATTGAACACAAGCAATAAAAGGCCACAGAATCCACAAACCTCAACTCAAGAGATATATGTACCAGCAGTAAGGTGAAGCAGGTCTGGAAGAAGCCTCAAACTCTAGTGACACAATCCACGGGTTGGCTTTTCCCACAGGTAGCATAGCTCACATGTTGAGGCAGAGAACTGGCTAAAGTAGCAGCATGCTCCAGCACTCTCTGGTCACCAGAGAGCAAGAGAGATGGGGGAAGGCCTAGCAGAGCCATTTATCTCTTTCCCTCCAAACAACTGCAACCTAATTAATCCCAGATGTTCCTATTGGCCAGGTTGGCACAATAAACCTAACTATCACAGTCCATACCTTGCCAACTTGGCACCTGTATACAATTCTTTAGCCATATACAATTTCCAGACATTAATGAAATCACAGTTACACCTAACATCATGCATCTATCATGCATATAAGTGAAAACACACTGAATCTAATTGTATTTGGTATATTATATATGAAAAAAGGAAAGATATCCAATAAACACATATAAAGAAGAAATACTGAGAGTCACAAATCTTGCTTTTACAATTGATCATGTGGTCATAACTGATAGTTAAAATTACCTTCTTCTACTACCCATTCTGTATTACCTTTGCCTTAAGCCAGCACCTCAGCTGGCTGTAGTTCTTGCCTGGTGGGGTGACCCAGACCTTCATTTCTGAGGGGTCTGGGTCATTAGATAATCTGTCAGGATTGGGTTGCTGTAGTTTACCATTTACTTTAATTACAGGGCATGGTAGCACTAAGAAACAACCTAGGGGATCTCCTGGATTCCAGACATATTCTTCTTTCCTTCCATTTGTAACACCAGTTCAATTTCTCCTTGGTAATTATGATCAATCACACCACTTAGTACAGTGATACCCTTACTGACCAGTTGATACAAAGGCACGAGAAGCCCAAAGTGGCCAGACGGCATTCTTAGTGGCCAGTTTAGTGGAGTGAATGCTGTGTTTCCAGGTGGGAGAGTCCTATCCTTCGGGATTAGGACCTCCAGCCTGAAGAGTGTAGGTTTTCTGGGACAGGAAGCAAAAATGCTGTAAGTGAATCACTAGGAGTAATAGTGAGTGATGCCACTCTGGCTACACCCCTTATTCCTGGACCCATGAATCCTGGTTATTGGAGACGCAGCACCATATATTGACCGCTGGTTTAGAGCATATACAGCCTCCTGGAGAACATTGCCCCAGCCCTGCAAGTTGTTGCAACCTAGCTGGTGCTGTAATTGTGCCTTTAGGAGGCCATTCCATCATTATATCAAGCCAGCTGCTTCAGGATGATGAGGAACATGGTACGACCAGTGGATTCCATGGGCTTGGCTTGGGCCCATTGCTGCACTGCATTTGCTGTGAAGTGAGTTCGTTGATCTGAAGCTCTAGTGACCCATATATTGGCATCTATATGGGATGCCATTCTGGTGGATAAGACATTCTGTAAGTCAACAAGTCCTAGTATGGACAGAAGCATTGTATGCCGGGAAGGCAAATCCACATCCAGAGCAGGTGTCTATTCCAGTAAGAACAAAATGCTGTCCCCACTATGAATGAATAGTCCCATATCTTGGATTCAGTGTTGGCTTCAGGTGCTGGCATCTGGGGCTCTCATCAGTGGCTGTGGCCAAGTCAGCCTTGGTGAGTGGAAGTCCATGTTGCTGCGCCCATACATAACCTCTATCCTTGCTACCATGTCCACTTTGTTCATGTGCCCATTGGGCAATGACAGGAATAACAGAGGAAAGAGGAGGACTAGTCTCCACAGTGTGTGTCATCTTATCCACTTTATTGTTAAAGTCCTCCTTTTCAGAGGCAACCCTTTGGTGAGCATTCACATGAGACACAATTATCTTAACTTTCTTGGCCCATTCAGAGAGGTCTATTCACATACCTCTTCCCCACACATCCTTGTCACCAATTTTCCAATTATGTTCCTTCCAGTTTTCTGACTATCCAGACAAGCCGGTACTCACTGCCCATGAATCAGTACACAATCTCCCATTTGGCCATTTCTTCTTCCAGGTAAATTGAATGGCCAGGTACACTGCTCGAAGTTTGGCCCATTGGGAGGATTTCCCTTCACCACTGTACTTTAGGGAGATCCCAGAAAGGGGTTATAGTGCTGCTGCTGTCCATTTACATGTGGCACCCATATATCATGCAGATCCAAACCAAGCATGAAATTTCCTCTGTCAACTTATCATAAAGAACTCCCCAGGAGGCCGTAGGTGCAGACTGGGAGAAGGAAGGTAGTATCAAGTTGACAAGGGGTGGTCTGTGGCAGTTGCATAATCTCCTGTCAACTTGAGTGAAGGGGAGGAGTCTAGCCTGTCAATTAGGTATCTGTGTGGACATGACCTTCTTCTGAGGATTCTGGGAACCCCTGTCGTCCTCCCTGGAGGCGGGACACACGGGCTCTCTCTCTGCTTCACTTTCTTGCGCACAAGCCAGATGGAGCTATGCTGATGCAGCCAAAGCCCTGCAGATGGAGGAGCCATATGGAAACCCAAGCCAGTGCTGAAATGCTTTCACTGCCACTGGATCCACAAGACTTTCCACCCACTGGCCTGTGATCATCCTGCATTTGGGATCATTGCATGCATTGTGTAAGTCTAAAAAGGAATTTATAGACTGGTACTGGACATATGGGCTAATATCAGACTTATGGACTTGATCTGGACTGGGCTGGGATGTTTCTTTCTTTTTAGAACTCAGCAAAATAAAATTCTGGTTTATTGTTGGACAACATTGTTGTACACATACATCAAACATGCCAAAATAAATAAATGAATAAACAGCAACTTCATAGACAAAAAAAAGAGCAAGGAAGAAAGAAACCTTTATCTTTGGCCTTTTTAACCATCTGTGGTAGTTATATAATTGCCAATTTGAGAGGATTATGAATGAAGGGGTGGAGTCGAGTCTGTCAATCAGATCATAGACAATGAGGCTTCTGTGGAGGCATGGCCTTCTCCTGAGATTTCTGGGAAATCTGGTATTTCCTCCTTGGAGGTGGGAGACTCTCTGCTCACCCCCTGGGAGACATAGCAGCTGACAAGACACATGGACCCACCCTGATGCAGAGACCCTTGCCAGCGCTGAGATGTTTCCAACGACACTGGATCCAAAGACTTTCTACCCACTGGCTTGTGATCTTCTACAGTCAGCATCATTGCATGTGTTTTGTGAGTCTGAAGAGGACTTTATAGATTGGTATCGGACAAATGGGGCTAATATGGGACTTATAGACTTGATCTGGGATGTTTTCTCAATATTCAATTGCTCTTGTATATAAATCTCTCTCTTATACACATAGTGTGTGTCCATGGATTTGTTTCTCTAGTCTACCAAGACTAACACACCATCTCATACTAACCACTACTTATACTATAACTAAGGACATACACAAAAACAGTTACTGGAATGCTCAGAATAAGATTGTAATTTTTGCTTTTTTTACAAGGTTTTTTCCTCCTTTGAGATTATAATGAATATGGTCACACCACAAGGAAAGTCAGAAGTGGACAGAGAACCCCCCAAAGGCTGGTTTGGTCATCCGAGATCATTAAAAATGGCTGACCCCTAACAATATGCACAAAAAGTATATAAAATGTAAATTAAAAATGGGAACAAATTTTCCTTTTTAAAGTACTTTTAAGAAAAAACGCAAGGCCTGGGAAGTTTTGGTTCTTTTTGCCTCCCCTGTTGCAAATTCACAGTGTGGTTTTGGTGGGTGGTGGTGAGCGCTGTCTGCGGTGGTGCAGCCAGAGGTGGGCGGGCGGGACTCCTACTCAAAGGTAACCCCATTTAGATTCTGAGACGGGAAGTGGAGGGTGACTAGGTCACGGTGGCCTTTGTGTTTTTGTTTTGTTGTTTTAAGTTGAACTTTTTTCCTGTTGCTGTCTAGTCATCCTTATCAGTCTTCTGCTTCTTGGTATCCACACCGTCATCGTCATCATCTTCAGCTGCCCGTTTGCCTGTAGCTGCCTCAGCCTCCTCATCCTCATCTTCTTCACCATCACCTTCCTCCTTCTCTTCCCCACCTTCTTCCTCTACCTCGCCGTCAGCCTCCTGTTCCCCATTATCCTCATTAGCATTGCTGTTAGCGGGGGCATCTCTTCCATTCTTGGCCTCCTCCACCACCTCCTCCTTCTCCCTTAAGTCCGGGGTGGTGCTCCCGAGCTGGTGTCCACAGGGTGGGGCACGCTGGTGATCCTACACAGCGGATTACAAAGACAGCGCGAGTTTGGGGACTCTGGCGAGAGAGCTGCAGGAGTCCGCGGCTGCAGAAGAACCCAGGAACAATGCCAAGATGGCTTTTCAGAGCAGCCAGTGGGGCGCTGTTTTCTTAAGATACAATTTCTCTTTGATATAAAACTCTTACACACATCTGAGGGCCTCTGGGATTTGTTTCTCTAGTCAACCTGGACTAACACACCACAGATTGGGAGAAACATAATTTGCAACATATCCAATGGGGAACTAAGGTCTATAATTCATAGAAAACTTGAACACTTTAACAAGAAAAAGCCAAATAATTAAAATTTTAAAATCAGCTAAGCAGAGAACATGAACAGACACATTTCATCAAAGAAGATATTTTGGAAGTAAATACATGAAGAAATGCTTGTGATCATCAGGTTGAGAGATGCAAAGCAAAACCGACAAGGAGATATCATTTCATCCCAGCCTTAGTGGTAAAGTTCAAAAAAGTCAGAAAACAACAAATGCTGGCAAAGGTGTGAAAAGATTGCAACACTCATGCACTGCTATGCAAGACTAACATGGTACAGATTTTGTAGAGAGCAGTATGGTACATCCTAAACTGTTGGAAATAGAAATGCTATTTGATCCATCATGCCAACTACAAAAAATAAGCACCATAACACAATTAGATACATGAACATTTATGTTCAACACAAAACTATTCACAATGGCAAACGATCTAAATGCCTATCACTGAAAGACTAGATAAATAAATGGTGCAAACACACGATGGAATGCTATACAACGTGAAAGAACAATGGATCATGAAAGACTTCTTAACACGGATGGATCTGGAGGGCATTATGTTGCGCAAAGTTAGTCCATCACAGAAGGACAAATCGTGTATACTATCCATACTTTAAACTGGGGAAAACATTTCTCATAGAAAGAAATATTCTTTATTGGCTTCCCTAGGGAGGGGGAGTCATTGATGATCCATCAATAACTAGAGGATAAACATATATTAACTAGGCTGAAGGGTAAGGAAATATACAGAAAAAGGGGGATCAGCACAAAATGATCAAGGCAAAGGAAGACCGTGGGAGGTGGCAACAGAGATAGACTGTAGCATACATAAACCTGTAATAACAAGACAATGAAGAATCGATGAGTGAACGTATATACTATAGATCAGTGGTTCTCAACCTTCCTACTGCCATGACACTTTAATACAGTTCCTCATGTTGTGTTGACTCCCCAACCATAAAATCATTTTCGTTGCTACTTCATCACTGTCATTTTGAATCAGGCGACCCCTGTGAAAGGGTCCTTTGACCCACAGGTTGAGAACCGCTGCTATAGATAGACACATGAACTTAGCAGCTATGGGAAGCAGAATGGGGACACACAGGTATAAGAGATGATATATCTATGTATTTATTTACATGTACTACAACTATATCAATTAATAAAGTGAAGCAGACAGGAGTCAAAGTTTTGAAAACTTCTTAGTCATAACTGAATACGTTGAGGGAATGAGGCCCTAGGCCTAGAGATTTTGCACCATCATCTTGGGGGCAACAAAATCAACAGATACAACAGAGTCCACAAGGACAATATTCTCTCTACTACTTGGGGGAGCAGATACTTGAATTTTAAAGTTGTGAGTGCTATCTGAGGTACCACCATTGTTCTCTTCCCTCCTCTTACCAGTAACTCTTCTGAGTGAAGACAGTCAAAGATTGAAGGAAATAATTACTCCAAATAGCTAATGGGCCCCTCAAATCTCAACTTCCATGATCCCAAGACCAGAATTAGATGACGCCTCACTACCACTACTGAACACTTGGAAAGGACTCACGTTAGGTCTCTGGAGAGAGCGGTACACATATGTGAGCAAAATCTCAAAATCATAAAACTAAAAATAAAAATAGGAAAGAGACTAGTGATTTTGGACCCTTAGCCAACCTTTAGGCCTGACACTGAAATCAACCAAGCAATAGGTGTATAACTTGAACCATAACACTAGGGAGAAAGGCATCCCATAGAACAATCAACCATTTAAGAACCAAAGGGCAGCCATTGCCCAGAAGCAAAGTTTAGAAGGCAAACAGAGTTAGGAAAGGAGAACAGGAAATGCAGGGAGGAAGTGGGGTGAATCACATTGCATTGTGGTGATTGCAATTACTAACAGAATACCAAGTGTGTATGCATTGTTGAATAGAAAATGTATTTGCTCTGTAATTTTTCACAATTCTTGAGAAAAAGTTGCTGTTGGGAATACAAACAGTAGTTATAGACGTGGACTCACTGAGTGGAATTCACAGGAATCGAATAAACTACCTCTGTGGGGAGAGGCAGTGGGCAAACTTAAAATCATGAAGTCAGAACAAGGCAGAGGCTGGCTGCAGAACAGGCCATCAATTGCTCAGATATTAGTTCAACTTGAAGCTGAAGAAAATTGAAACAAATCCATGAGAGTTAAAGTATAACTTTAAGTAAATCTCATCTGAATTTAGAGACCATCACAAGAAGATATTTCATGCTTTGCACATTAATTACTGATCAGTTGCAGATGACATTAAAAACATCATATATGAAGAAAGAAAAATATCACTAAACACTCATGGGGGAAAAAAAGAAAAACATGGATGTCAGAAGAGACTCTGAAACTTGTCTTGAATGTAGAATAGCTAAATAGGAAGAACTGAAAATGAGCTGAACAGAGAATTTCAAATGGCGATTGCACAAGCAAAAATTCTAATGAAATGTACAACAGCGAACGATCTAGAGTTAGAAAATCGTAAGAGAAGAACACCCTCAGCATATATCAAGCTAAAACATCTGAAGAAAAACATTCAAACCTGTATTACAATATTGAAGCTGAGACAAGCAAGGTGGAGATTAGGACAGAACGTCCGCACAATCCATGACACATCTTGAGACTACATTTCCCAGACCCTCTTACATGACCACTGGGGAAGTTCCCCTGAATCACCTTTAAAAATGCTCTCTCTGCATGCAGGCGAGGGTGGGGATTGCAGGGTTGAGGGCACTGTGTAAGAAATACTGAGGTCGGTCATGCTGACTAGTAAGGTTTTCTTCCTCCTAGGATCCTCTCAATAAAATCCTCTTATGATGCCCTCTTCTTCTAAAAGGACATCTTTCTCTTGGTAAGAAAGACAAGAACCTGAATTCCAATAACAAAGTTTTATGCCTAAAATGATGAACAGTGCAGTAAATCTAAATAAGAAGCCTGGGACACACAGTCATATGCCTTCCAAACAAACAAACAAATGGATGCACTGCTACTGACTCAATTCTGATTCACAGCGGCCCTTTAGGACAGAATAGGATGCCTCTTTGGGTTCCTGAGACTCTAACTCTCTACGTGAGTAGAAAGCCGCATCTTTCTCCACAGAGGAGCTGTGGTTTACAACTGCTGTTCTTGCAGCGATCAGTTCAATGTGTACCAAAAAGAATTGGTCAAAGTCTAACTACTTCAGAAGATAACTCCTGATCAAGAATGTATAGATTTGAAGAAAGAAGGCATTGGAGTCTCCACCAAAGCTCCAGAATTGACAGCATACCAATACAACGTTTCAACAAATGGATGCAGTACTGGAAGTGCTCATTCATCGATGACGAGAAATTTAGAAGACTGGGCCTGTCTACTGGAAGAGATTAATATTCAGGCTAAATCCAAAGAAAGCTAATCCAACAGAATAATGGCATCTTCGAAGAAACATGTGCAAGTAAAATTTTGCCAAAGATAATTTTTAAATAGTTGCAATAGTACATCAACCGGAAAATAAAGCCAGATTCAGAAAAGGACATAGATCTAATGATTGATGTCATTCCTGGTGTCAGATGTATAATGGCTGAGTGCACAGAATGATAGAAATATATTTACTTGTGTTTTATATATTACATAAATGCATTCAACTTTGTGAACTATAACAAAGTATGGATAATATTTCAAAGAATGTGAATTCCAAAATACTTAATTGTGCTCATATGGAACCAGTACAAAGACCAAAAGACACTCATTTGAACAAAAGAAGGGCACACTGTGTGTGTTCAAATCTGGAAATGAGTCTATTGGGTTTCTGTCCTTTCCCCAAATTTACTCAATCCAAATGTTAGACACTGAGGAACTGGACCGGATGAAGAAGAACGTGGCATCAGGGTCAGAGGAATCCTCATTAACAACCTGAACTATTGGGTGGGCTTAAGCCCCAAAGAAGTCGAGACTATCTGTACAGGCCAAGAGACCAACAAAAAACAACCCAAGAATGAATTCGAGAGACATTCTTTTAATATATATTTGAGAACTCACAAAGAACAATGCTGCTTCTTCAGGCTGGCTGGACAAGACCGTTTCTGCTGAAGGGTGCTGTTCTGGGGTTCACTTTAAACCAGGCCGTGAAGTGAGCTATGGAAACTGCTGAGAACTCATTAATACCAGGATGCTAACATACTCAAAACCCAGATAATGGGGAGGAAGTAGGAAGCATTCACAAGCTCTTGGTTCTGCTGTGGAGCCCTGACGTTATGTGGGGGGAAAGTATCACGCAAGTGGGAAAGAAGAAGAGGGTGGTGCCTGCTTTTAGCTCCAGAGGCCAGTTTTGGAGAATTAACTTCTCCTATAACTATGCAAATGATCCAACCTTGCTAGCTGACAAAGAAGAATATTTGAAGTGCTTATTGAAGAAGATAAATGTCTATTACCTTCAGCATGGAATATACCTCACCATAAATAAAACAAAATCCCTCACAACTGGACAAATAAACAGCATAACAATAGATAGAGAAAAGAGTGGTGTTGTCAATTATTTCACTCTGCTTGGATCAGCAATCAATGTCCATGCAAGCAGTAGTCAAGAAATCAAAGAACATACTGCTTTAGGCAAATCTGCTGCAAAGATCTTTTTAAAGTATTAAGCAGCAAAGATACCAATGTACAGTACACGCATGTGAAAACTGGACAATGTATAAGACACCTTTGAATATGGCTTCGGCAAAGAATATCAAGCATACTGTAGAACTACAAACGATCCAACAAGTCTGTCTTGGAAAAAATACAATCCAAATGTCCTTTGGGAGTGAGGATGGCAAGACTTTAGCTCATGTATTTGGGGCATGTTATAGGATGGACCAGTACCTGGAGCAAGACATCATGCTTGAGAAAATGGCAGTTTAGTAAAAAGAGGAATGCCTTCAATCAGATAAATGGACACAGTGGCCTTAACAGGGGGGGCGGGGGCAGAGCAGTGGTTGTATGGTACTGGACCCGACAGTGTGTAGTTCTTTAGCACCAACTCCATAGCTCTTAACTACATATGATGTGCCTGGCTAAGTCCTTCTTGAACTCTGCAGAGAACTATAGTATTCCAGAGAAATGCAAAGCATGCCAAATCTATTTTCTAACCCAGTTTTCAAAGGGATATTAGAGTTCAGGCTTTTCACCCTAGGAATCCCACTGTTACCTTTGCTAATAGTTAACACATTCAGAATGGCAGATAACTGAAAGGTTGTAGGTTTGCGTGTGCTCAGACATGCCTTAGCAGAAAGGCCTGGCAATCTACCCCCTAAACTTAACTATTGAAAATCATTCTACTCTGATACGTAGGGGGTCACTATGAGTCAGAGTCCATTCAACTGAAACTGCTGATGCCCCTAAAACGTGTTCAGGCCACACAGCATTTTGCAAAATTCGTTAGGTAGCTAGTTTAGGAACAGTGGGGTTGTCCCTCCCATGCCTGCAAAGGAGGTTGGAAAGAAATCAAGCACCCCATTAGACACCTACAAGAGAAACCCAGAACTGAGCATCCACAGACTAGGCCCAGGTAAAGCCAAAACCCTGGGCACATCCACCTTAGGTACCAGCAAATGACATCACACAGGTGGACCTAACTCAGTCAATGAGGTCAGCCGATACCTTCAATCATCTATAAAGTTTCAATGTCCCTTTGAGGAAAAAAAAATACCTTCAACCGTGCCTCCCCCCAGCCACGTGGTAGGATAGAATAAAGGCAGGAAGCACAGTCCTCCATCCTCTCTTGGCGCCCTTCTTGACCTGCTGCAATCTGTTTTTGCTCTGCCCTTGCTTACGGGCATGCTGTAAGGAGGGCCGGTAACATGCAGGCACGTATGTGCCCCTCAGGGCCTCTTGGCCTCTTGGACCCTGGGGATTCCCCCATTCTCCACATGGGTGTTCTTTCCCACATGGTTTTTCATGTGCAGTTGTGAACCCGAGCTTGGCTTCTGCACAGCTCAGTACGCTTCCCAGAAATAGTGTGTACCCTTTTGAGATTGTAAAACCTGAAACTTTTCTGTTCCTTTCTAAAAACTCTCTTGGATTACACAACTTGCTTCAGTGTGAATTCTTTCAGCATGTGAAGCTGAGAATCAAGGGGTATCCCAATCCAGAAACCTAACGGTTTGGGCTTACGGTTTTTAGAAATATTTGTGATGAAGGACTAGTTTATCATTTTTTTTATTTTATATCTATCTATAATTCATTGCATACTGATATTTTAAACATATTAGAAATGAGGAAATATTACATGGAAGGATATGAAAATACAAGCACCAAAATCTAATATTCGATTCAGTAGACATAAAAATCACTCTACCAAATTGAATAAAAATGTATAAATGCTTACTCTCAATTTCTGTAGGCATCTCATAGACCAAAAACAAATTATGGACTGGTCCCTTTCTCAGATCGTGGATTAGGTATCCAGGTATGTGCTAAACAGTGAACTGGGCTGAACAATGAACCAGGCTGCTCTCTGAGGACCCTCCAGCACCGACATCCAATCATTCTGTGTCTCTTTGAAGACCTGGGTAGAGCATAGTATAAGGACTAATTAAGTCAAGTGTACTAGCTAAGGGCAGACACTTCTTCTGTGAGCTGAACTGCCTGAGTCCGCAATGATGACCCCGATTAAATCAGTATCTGGTTCAAGAGCAGAGCTGACGACTTGTTATATAGTCTGTTCACACAAATCACAGCTTTCCTATCTGGTCCCTTAAGAACAGATGCCTTCCTGCTCTGATTAATTATGCATTAGCTAATTAATTTGTTGGCTTTATTGAATTGAATCAATTATTTTAAATGGCTTTTAATTGTTAATACATGCATTATAACAAAAGACAAAAGCTGTTAATAGAATTCAACATGAAAACCTCCCAGGACAGGGGGTGGCCTTGTAAAATAAATTAGGTAAAATTTCCTGAAGAGTCCTTTTGACTTCCAAAAAGCCACTGGTATCTGCAGCAACACAGAATTCTTTCTAGGGTTTCTTATAGAAGTAATCCTTAAGATGTACAGATGAGTAAAATGTGATCATTTGCTGAAAAAGCATTGACTGCGAGACTTTAAGCTGTAGCACATAGGTCTCTTAAGGAGACCACGAGGTCAGGGCCACCTCTAATTAATATAAACCACCTGCTGGAGAGCTGAGCAATGCGCAGGTGAGGCTGCAAATGCATTTGGGCTGTCTGGTGGGCTTACTCTAGGTAGGATAGGAAGTGAGAGGTAGGGGTGCAATGGTGGTTCTCTTCTCACTCAGCCTGGAAACACAGGATACAGAACTGGTGGCAAAGGAGGTATCCACTCAGTTCTACATTCCTTTTGACCTCTGACCCTGTGGGGTATAAAAGGAAGACTAGGACATCGGATGTCAGAAAAGTAGCGGTGGTAAGTATGTAAGGAAACACAGCAGCCTGTGCTTATTTAGCTTACTGGATAAAATTCCTGTCCCTGTCAGGAATTTTTAATTTGGGGAGGGGGGAGCTTTTATTTTGTAGGGAGGTATTGTGGGGTTTGGAGAGAGACAGATGCCAGCCATACTTAGAAGCAGAATCTTTGACGTGGTGGGTGGAAAAAAATGAAAAATTTCATACAGATTCATAAGCATGCATAAATGAGCCTGTGCTTACTTTAGTTGTTGGGTAACCTCACACTAGACCTATGTATCTCTTTTACATAATTATGAGGTTGTTTTGATTACTGTATCCTTAAAACAAAACAAAACATTGCCATCTAGCTGATTATTATTCATAGCAACCGTACATAAGGTTTCCAAAGCTTTTTTGGTAAATCTTTAAGAAAGCAGAAATTCTCATCTTTTTCCCTTGGTGGGTTTGAACTGCTAACCTTGTTGGTAGCTGTATAGTTTATTTTATATTAGGAGGTGTTGAGCCTTCCTATTTTGTTCTTCTTTTTCAATATTGCTTTAGGTTTTCTTGCCATTCCACATGAAGTTGAGGATTGTTTTTGATGCAAAGAAGGCTGTTGGACTTTTTATTCAGGTTATACAATGAAAGTATAGACCAATTTGGGAAGTATGGGCATCTTAACAATATTAAGGTTTTCAACCCATAAACATGGACCTTCTTTCCATTTATTTACATCTTCTTTAATCATTTTCAGCAGTGTTTTATAGTTTTCATTGTACAAGACTTTCAAATCACTAGTTAGATTTATTCTAGCTATTATATTGTCTTAAATGCTATTGGAAATGATATTGTTTCTCTAATTTCCTCTTCAAGTTTCTCATTACTGGTATATAGAGAGCTACCTGTTGATTTTTTAAAAAGTGTTACATTTTATTCACATATTACATGATTCAGTAGTTCAAGAATATTAAAAAGCATTCTGCATCATCACCACAATCAACTTTAAGACATTTTCGTCTTTCTTGTACTCATTGCTGTTAGCACCCCAATCCCTCCTGCATCTCCCTGTCTCTATATTTTCCCATCTTCTGTCTGACAGCCAGGCACTGGTTACTTTTACCACCAAGCTTTGCACAGCACCCATGTCCTCAGTGAAAATGGCAGCCCAAGACTCCCATATATTCGCTGTTTTCATGTTCTCTGTGCTTTTTCATGACAGGCCTCGGTGAAGCCGCCATAGCTCTGCCTTTGTGAATGAGTATCATTGAAATGTTTGCCCTGCCAGCCCTCATTGTTTGTGAAAATAATGTCCAGGCACTTAAGGTTTTAATCTGTACTAATCAACAATCCATGTGAGTTTGGTCTAACAAACTACCCTACGCGTGTATATTTTCCTTTTCTCAAAGGCGCTTAAAATTCTATACCATTGGCTATATTAATGATAATATCAATAGAACTACCACATGCTCCATGAGGATAAATTATAATGTTCTCCAATAAAATAATAATGTTGTCTCTAAAGTGAACCAGGACATATATAAACACCATATGTAGACTCCACAATGGCAGAGAAGGGATAAAGGGGAGGGGGAACCTACTATTCACGTTCTGAGATGCACCAGGGGCCTCTGACTGGTGGGATGCTATGTGGAGGGGTGCCAGCCCTGAAAACAGGGTACAGCGTCAAACTCACATAATGGCAATGCCATATAACATGGTCTTTGGGACTACGTCAATACCTGAGGAAATGGTGTTTATCATTCCATTGCCCTCTGGCCTCAAGGCTTCTGAGGGCAATTTTATTAAGGATTCTTTATATACTACTGCTTCTCACTCACTTCTTTCAGGATTCTCATTCCTCTAATTTGAACGCCTAACTATAATGTCTTGGTATAGATCTCTTTGTGTTTATCCAGTTTGAGGTTCTGTGAGATTTCTATGATTTACAGAATAATTTCTTTCATTAAATTGGGGAAATTTTCTGTCATCATTCCTTCAAATATTCTTTTAAAAAAATCATTTTATTGGGGACTTGTACAACTTTTATCACAATCCATCCATCCATCCATTGTGTCAAGCAAATTTGTACATTTGTTGCCATCATCATATTAAAAACATTTTCTTTCTACTTGAGCCCTTGGTATCAGCTCCCCATTTTCCCCTCCCTCCCCCCACCCTTCCCCATCACGAACCCTTGATAATTTATGAATTATTATTATTATTTCATGTCTTACATTGAGCGATGTCTTCCTTCACCCACTTTTCTGTTGTCCTTCCCCTAGGGAGGGGGGTTATATGTAGATCATTGTGATCGGTTCTCCCTTTCTCCCCCACCTTCCCCTTACCCTCCTGGTATCTCTACTGTCATTATTGGTCCTGAGGAGTTTATCTGTCTTAGATTCCCTGTGTTTCCAGCTCTGATCTGTACCAATGTAAATGCTCTGGTCTAACTGATTTGTAAGGTAGACTTGGGATCATGATAGTAGGGGGAGGGGGGAACCATTGAAGAACTAGAGGAAAGTTGTATGTTCCATCGTTGCTACACTGTACCTTAGCTGGCTTATCTTCTCCCTGCTACCCTTCTGTAAGGGGATGTCCAGTTGCCTACCGATGGGCTTTGGGTCTCCACTTTGTACTCCCCCTCATTCACAATATGATATTTGTTCTTTGATGCCTGATACTCAATCCTATCGACACCTCGTGATCACACAGGCTGGTGTGCTTCTTGCATGTGGGCTTTGTTGCTTCTCAGCTAGATGGCCGCTTGTTTATCTTCAAGCCTTTAAGACCCCAGATGCTCTACCTTTTGATAGCCAGGCACCATCAGCTTTCTTCACCACATTTGCTTATATACCTGCTTGTCTTCAGGAATTGTGTTGGGAAGGTGAGCATCATGGAATGCCAATTTAACAGAACAATGTGTTCTTGCATTGAGGGAGAACTTGAGTAGAGGCCCAATGTTGATCTACTACCTTAATAATAAATCTATAAATATATGTACATAGATCTATTTGCCCATCATTATATATAAATATATTTACATACGTACATGTCTGTATTTATGCCTCTATAAATGCCCTTTGCCTCCTAGTTCTTTCCTCTACTTCCTTTTACTTTCCTCTTCTCCCACTATCATCATGTTCAGTCTTTATTTGTTTCATTAACTCCTTGATCAAGCCCAACAGGCCTCCTACACCCTCCTCACCATCGATTTTTTCTTCAAACATTCTTTCTGCCATTTTTCACACATCCTTCTGGAATTCCTGATGGATATCTAATCCTCATATTGTATACTTTCTCATATTATACAATTCCATTAAACAATACTGACCCTAAAGTCTCTGTTCTTGCTATTCTTCAATACCTGTAGTTTTAACTATCCTATCTTTTCATTTGCTAATTATTTCTTCTGTCTGATTAAATCTGTTGGT